TGAACTGCTGCCCCTCTGCCATGTGTCACCTGGCTTGGAGTCAGTCGATTACAGGCTAAAACCTTTACAGACTGTGAGCTAAATAAACTTTCTTCCCTTTAAGTTTGGTGTCTGATATTTAGTTCCAGCAGCAAGAGAAAAATAAGTGTCAAGATTCATATAAGTATGCAGCTATCAATATAGTATGCTGACTTTGATTCCTTCAGAAATGTCCTGAATCCTATCCAGCCCTATGATAGTTTAATTTTCAGTTTTTAAGAAGCTCTGTACTGATTTTCATAGTGGCTAAACTAATTGACATTCCTACTAAAAGTATGGGTTCCTTTTTACCCACACCCTCCCCAGCATTTATTGTTCTTACACATTCTTGATGAGAGTTACTCTGACTGGAGGGAGGTGGAATATAAATGTGGTTTTGATGTGCAGATTCCTGCTGGCTAAAGATATTGAATATTTTTTCATAAAATTATTCATTACTTGTACTACTTTTTTTTAGTTGTCTATGCAGTTTGCACTGTCTATTCAGTTTCTTTGCCCATTTACTGACTGGATTACTTGGTTTTTTAAAACATTTTTATTAGCATATGTTTGTGATACCTACTGAATACATGCATGATAGGGAATAAGTGTACATGCACATGGCAGCTAATCCTTTTACACTCCCTCCCTTTTGTTTGCTCTTCCTCCCTCCCTGTATTCCCTTCAAGCTTTGAAAAGTCTACCTCCCTGTTTCTATTATCTATCTTTAATTTTTACTCTTTAAATTTCTTACACTTTAGGTTTCTCGTAGAAGAAAAACCATGTGATATTTAGCTTTCAGTATTTGGCTTATTTCACTTAGGATTGTGGTCTCAAAGTACATCGCATTCCTAACAAGTACTCCAGTGTGTCCTTCCTTTGTGGCCAAGCAATGTGGTACACATGGTATACCTGTTGATGTGCATCTAGATTGCTTCCATGATTGAGCTACTGTGAGCTATGCTATTATAAACATGGGTATGTATGTATCACTACATAGTAGTAGAGTCATCTGATATCTTTAACTCTTTGGGGAAAGACACTCAGAAGAGCTATCTAAGTAGATTCACACGAATCTTTCATTTTGGCTTTTTGAGGAATCCTCATACTGATTTCCACAGTGGTTGTACTAAATACTTTTCCACAATGTAGGTTTCCATTTCCCCACATCCTTGTCAGCTTTTCTCATCTTTTTACTTCTAGGTGGTAGCCATTTTTTCCAAAATGGGAATCTTGATATTGTGGTTTTTTAAATGTATTTTTTTTGGTTTTTTTAATAGGGTCTTACTTGGCAGGTGGGACTCCTAGTGAGCCTCTTTTTTTCAGCCTGCCCAGTGCTGGGATTATAGGCATGTGCCACCATGCCCAGTTTCAGGACCTGCACAATGCACCTGGGGTTTTGGGGCTGGCATGGCATGCAGTACCAGGTATCAAACTTGGGTCCTTGTGTTAAGTAGGCGCTTAGACTGCTAAGCTATCTCCCCAGCCCCTTAGCACATCTTCTGCAGCTTGAACTCAGCTGGACACTGATACATGGACCCAGTAGATATTCTGAGCTCTGAGCTCAGTTGGCACCTCTCCAAGTGGTTCCCAGACAAGCTCTCTCTCCTGCAGGACATACAACCCCTTAGCACTTACTTCCAGCTAGTGTAGTCCTTTACATCAAGTATTCCTCTCCATTGCTATGCCTCTGCAGAGGCATCTGGTGTTGCCAGCAATCACCATCTGCAGGTTTGAACTGCTCCTCCCATGCAATGAATCCTGACTCAAGGAGAAGACTCTGCGGGCTACCACCTTCTTCGTGGAAGTTTCTCTCTTTGCTCTCCTGTGGACTTCAATTCTTGTTTCAGATCCTTCCTGGGCCCAGGGCACCCACTTCTCTCCTTGTCTTCCTCATGTTGCTAAATTCCAGTATTTGGAAAGCAACTCTCAAGAGGCTCTTTCTCTGCTGCCTACTACTGTACCATCATCCCAGAAGTCCCTACTTTTGGAAGAAGAGTAGAGGCTATCGTTATGGAAACACAAAAGGAAGCCTAGGGTGACTGGCAAAGTTCTATTTTGTTATGGTTTGTTCTTTATTTTCATTTTACAATGAAGAAGTCTTTTCCTTTCTAAAGAGCAACTGAATTTAACATTATTGGCAAAATAATTTTTCAATATAGTTAAACATGTTAGATTGCTATAAGCAACAAAAGTTAGAAATGGAAACAATGTTGACTATTGCTTCTAGAAGTGTGATTGAAAAATGAAAAAGACTTTTTTTAGACAAAACCTGGAACAAGTGGTGATCCTTCTGCCTCTGCCTCCTGAGTGCTGTGATCACAGGCAAGCACCCTACACCCAGTTAAAAGACTCAACTTTAACATTTCGGTTTCTATGTCTACTTTTTAATGTGACTCTAGATGCACGAAAGTTATTTGGCCTGAAAATACAATTTCAGGAGTCATCGCCTCAATTATAGTGAGTAAAGCTATGAGAATATACAGGGTAAAAATAGAATTTTTAAAAACTAAAGAAATAGTCCTGGCCAGGCAGGGTAGCAACACACTTGTAATTCCAGCTACCAGGAGACTGAGACAGGTGGATTGCCACAAGTTCTAGGATAGCTTCTGTCAAGCACTAAGCCTAAACACCCAGCACCTTCTAAGGACCTCAGTGAGTTCCCTGGGGAGTTTATGCCCTTACCTTTATGCTACCATCTGTAGAAATGCCCTAGAAAAGTGCCATTCTTTTTTTTTTTTTGGTGGTACCAGGGATCAAACTCAGGACCTTGTGCTTATCAGGCAGGTGCTTACACCACTGAGCTATATCCCTGGCCCCATTGCTTTTCTTATAGACCTGAGTGGAAGAGCTCTCTTTCCCACCCTAAAATTCAGTTATAGATTGTTTATCTTTTCATGTTGATTGATGAACTTCACATATGGCTTTAAGTGCCTGGTGTTAAAGAACACTTAGGTTGTTTTTTATTCCTTTTTCCTAAGGAGTGCTTAAAATTAAATGGACTAGGGGGACCCGAAATGGACTTTACGTTACTGAAATCAACGCAGAAGTCACATTGCAAAAGGCTTCATGGGTACATTTGTGATCAAACTGCTTTCATTTGCCTTCACTCTATTGTGTCTCACCATTACCACAGCTCAGCTACTTGATATTTATTAATCACTGCACATTTTCTCACTTGTTTTAAATACTAGCCTACAGATTCTCTTCCAGGTCAGAGTCCGAAGAAAGACTCTGATTGGTCAAACTAATTGCTATTATTCTTTAAGGGAATTTGTATTAGGACATGTCTTGGGCCACTGATTCTCCTTTGGGTCAGTGGTGATATCACGTGCCACCTGTAAGAAACACATACAGAAGTCACCCCTCCCCCCACGGAGTGTGTATGAATAGCGAGCATGCTCAGACCTGATCTTCTGCCTGGAAATAGTATATTTCTAGATACAAAAACCTTTAGCAAAGATATGAGTAGGCACGTGGTAAGCTCTGAAATTTTTTTAAGTTCTGTGGCTTATATAATAAGTTTCTTTGCCTTTAAATGGAATTTAAGGGCTGGGAATGTAGCTCGACGGCACAGCCCCTTTCTGGCAAGCATAAGGTTTTGAGTTTGATTTCAGGTACAAAAAATTAAAAAGAAATTAAGTCCACTTAGGCTATATCTCAATTCGTGATTCCAGTTTTCTCTACTAATCTTAGTTTTCCTTGCGCTTTCTATGTAATTAACATTTGTTGATTGCTGACAACGTACCTGGCACTTTTCTAAATGTCAAGGGAGACTATTAATTTGATCCTCTCCAGAAACCCCACGTAAACTTTTTTGCCCCTGACACCCAGGCAAGATGGAATTTGGGTGACAGCCCTCACCGTCTGGTCTCTCCAGGCGGCTTCACAGGCCCCTTTCGCACGCACGCACGCGCACGCACGCACGCACGCGCGAGGGCAAGCTCCGGGCTCGCTCGCGGTTCCGCAGCTCCCGGCCTCCCTCTAGGCCCCGCAGGCGTCGTCCTCTGTGGCCGACAGACCCCCAAGCACTCAGTGGTGGCAGAAAGGTACGTTTGGGTCATTTATAGGAAAATGGATGGCTCTCGAGACCATTATGCTAAGTGAAATAAAACACACAGGCTAAATATTGTATAGATTCTCTAATTTAAGAAAGTATAAATCATGTTAACAGCAAAATAAAAGACGATAGAAACACAGAAGGGGGAGAAAAATGATCAAGATGACATGTAACTGTGTCCGTTCCCTTAGATGAATGCAACTTTTATCCCATAACAATATATACGAATTTTAACATAAGTCTGGCTGTAGATTAGAAAAATCTCGACGTTCCCGTCTAAGTGCGAGATTCCAAGCAACCAGTTGTGAGTTAGCTTTAGTCACTTTTGCTGTTACCTCTTTT